TAAATTTAGTATTTTGAAGATGCAACTACTTATATTAGTGGAAGTACTTATTCAACAATTGGCTTAATAGTTCCAGCATATAATGCTTTACTTGATATATTAGAAAAATTTATTGAAGAAAAAAGTACAGTTTCAACTATTAAAAATGCAGCTCAATTTGGTGTAAATAAGCTTGAAAAATATTATTCATCGACAGAAGGATTGGCTTATATTATTGGAACAAGTATATTTTATAATTTATATTTAAATTAATTTATATATTATATTTAATATTATTAATTTATATTTTAATTAATTAGTTTTGGATCCTAGACTTAAATTAGCTTATTATCAAGAACATGATTTTGAAGAATATATTCAAATATACCAAACTCAAATAGAAGATTTGTGGAAATCTAACTATCAGCCACAACCTTCTCAAAACTCAAATAAAGCTCAACAAAATCAAAAGAAGACCCAAAATAAAATATTAGCTAATATTTTTAAAAAATGCAAAAAAACTAATCCTTCAGATGAATTAGCTACTTATTTAAGAGAATCTCCTGCTAACACTAATGATGATGATGATAATGATATAGATATTTTAGAATGGTGGAAAGTAAGTATTATTATTTAATTATTATTATTATTATTATTAAAAATATTAATTTTAAATTTATAGAATCATGAATCTGATTTTCAACATTTAGCTAAAATGGCAAGAGATTTTTTAGCAATTCAAGGTATAAATTTTTATATTTTATAAATATAGCATATTTATAAATATATATTAAATTATTATTATAATTTTTATATTTAGCTACAAGTACTCCAGTTGAAAGAGTATTTTCTAGTAGCAAAAACTTAATTACTGATAAACAAAGTAATTTAAATCCAGAAACTATTAGAGCATGCATAAGTTTAAAAGGATGGTGGAAAATTAATAAAGATAATAAAACAAATAAATAAAATAGAATAATTTACTATCTCTTAATTTGTAAACTTTTCTAGACAAATTTGTTTAAAAAATTTTTATAAATACAGTATATATATAATCTACTTTTTTTCAAAATTTAAAATTTAAAATATTAAAATAAAATTTTATGAGAATTGTTAATGCCACCTCCCATTTTTGTTAATGCCACCTCCAAATATAAAAATGTGCTCCAGAAGAGGTATTTATATTAAGTAAATCTTATTATAATCATAATAAAAGTTGTTCATTAGGCCTTTCTAGTTCTAATGGTAGTAAAATCATTAAAATCAGACTAGTAGTTCTTAAGATATATATGTCCAAAATTAGTAAACTTTTATTTACTTTTAAAAAAAACACTAGCCCAATTTTAATGATTTTACTACTATTAGAACTGGAAAGACCTGATAAACAACTTTTATTAAAATCAAAATAGGATTTACTTAATAAAATGCCTCTTCCGGAGCACTTTTTTAAAATTTTGGGTGGCATTAACAAAAATGGGAGTGGCATTAACAATTCTCAATTTTATTTGATAATATAGAAATAAATATTGTATTTTTATTGTTACTTTGATTTTTTATTTCTTTTATTTAATTAAGTTTTTCTGAATTGTTCTAACTTGGATCAGGGCTTCTAAGACTTCTAAAGATCAGGTTTCGTTCGTTCTGGCATTGACATCACTCATGTGAGTTAGGCTGTTCTCACTCAATAAATCAGATGTAAATTTTTAATTAGTCAGAAACTAAATAAATCAATCACCTTTTTTCTCCATTTATAAAAATCGCTCAAGCACTACAATGAATTCACAACAAAATTCACAACAAATTTCTAACTGGTCTAAAAAAAATATCCACTTAAATAATTGACACCTTGATATGAATGTACACTAATTAAAATAAAGCCTATCAAACAAATATCTTAAATTTTTTTAACCCAGATGTGGCACTGATTAATGGCTCGAATCGCATCATTTCCAGGGTTAAATATCAGAAACCTGATATCTTTATCAGTTCTGATACCTATAAATGACACAATTTGGTAGGGTGTTCAATAAACTACTGTAATTAATCAAAACATAGAGTTATTAAGTTCAGATTTTTTAAAGAGTTATTTTACATATAAATTTATATATAAATTTGTACTAATTTAGGTACATTTTTCTACATAACTAACAGACAAAATGTACCATATTTTTTTTTAAACTGTAGCTCTAGACTAGCTCTATACTGTATTAGAACCGGTTTTTTAATAACCTATATTAATTATTAATAAAAATTAATCCGAAATTTTATTAAAAGTTATTAAAAAAACTAGTTCTATTACAGTATAGAGCTAGTCTAGAGCTACAGTTTAAATGTAGGATCCCATCAGGATGAGGTTCTCGTACTACAACATAATTCATTACATTTTCTTTTTACTTTCACATTGAGATCTAACATGATTAAGTATATCTTCAAGATCGAGATCACATTTTGTATATGTTAAATGCAATTGGGCAGAATCTAATCTAAAATTAGCTTCAATATCAGAAAGGTCTGACATTTTGTATCGATTCTAATTCTTTATTTTACATTTTGTCTGTTAGTTGTGTAGAAAAATGTACCTAAATTCATATGTGAAATAACCCTTTAAAAAATCCAAAATATATGACCCTAACTAAGTTTTGATCAATTAGTTTATTGAACACTCTAACGATTCAGGTCATTAATTAGTGCCATATCAGGGCTGTTACTCGTCCGATATGCTTTATTTCGACCAGTGGTAATCATCTTTTAACATTTAACCCATTTAACCAAACTGTAATGAATACTACTATTCCTCATATAAACTTAAGATATATATTAATATATATATACTGTATATTTAATATTATTAACGTTTTTTTTTTACTTCTTTGTTGCTGCAAAGCAACTTTCGCTAAGTTGTTGCCATTGCAACAAAAGATTAATATTGGTAAAATTAAAGGGAGAAGCTGACGTAACCGAAGCTGAAGCTTCGGCAGTCGGTTGAACAGAATTTTTTTTATTGGATTTTTTAGACGTTTTAGGCAAGATCATATCGCCATTGATTGTAATACTTGAGCATCATCACTATTATTCTTGATTTAGATACTTGAGAACGGCCTTAATCATTCATTAATTTTTGTTCTTTTCCCCGTTTCTTCGCGTGTTATACTTTTAGATCTCACTAATCTTTGTTCCTTTTCCTTTTATTTTCTATTCCCTTTTTCACTTCGCCCTTTATACTTTTAGATCTACCTTTTCTTACTGCTATACCTTCGACTTTTCATTCTTCGGTGGGATCACGTTAGATCACGTTAGATCCTTCCATTGCTTGAACCTTCCTATAAGGTGTTGGACGAAGAATCTACCATGAATCTTCCACTTTCGGTATGTCTTTGTGGGAGATCCTGAGTGAGCGTCTTGTCAGTTAGTTCCGGGCAGTGTTGGAATCTGTTTTGAGATTTATTTAATTCAATGTTCTCAAAAATTTATTCTTATTTCAGAAATATCGGACATTTATTCAAATTTTTGTCACGACCCTTCTCGTCTTTTGTTCATTTATTTTCTTTTCAATTAATTTTATAATTTCTCCCGATTCTAATTTATTTCCATCTCACTATGCTATTATTATACTTATATAGAGAGCGATCCTGGTGCGACGTCGTCTTGGAATCTTTGGTTGGTTTGGGTTTTTCTCTCTGGTTGGACTCAAGTGAGAACTCTTTCGGCGTTTTCTTGGTTACCCTTTCTTGGAAGAGCATATGGGCAACCCTTTCTTTTTCTTGGGCCTAAGCTTTAATCTGGCTCTTTGTTTCTTCAGCTTTCGATCATTCTTTGGTAGGAGCCGGTTATAGTTATAGTAGTGGTTAGGGATAGGAATCGGCTATAAGATTTAGTCGACTAAATCGACTAAACATAGTAATTTACATATAAATTTTTTATTTAACTAAATTGATTCCTATCCCTAGTAGTGGTTTTTTTGTTTTCGTTTTGTTTTACCCTTATTAACTTTTTTTTTTTTAACTTTTTAAGATTCAGCCATTCCTTGGGTCCTTCCGGTACTGCCTTGACTGCAGTCTCAGTATTCGGGTAAGTATAGTCTATAAGGTCCAGGAGAACTCTAGAGAGACTGAATATTGTTTGGTAAACGACATGTATATAGTTACCAGGTTCTATATAACAAGTATAGATCTATCTTATCATATTGCATTGGGATTCTTATATATATATATATATTCTAACTAATCACATTTTATTTAGAGCGATATTATAAAAGAGCAACCGTGGAACTATTGGGGTGATATTGTGAAGAGCTATTGTGGGTTAAGCTGAAGTTGTAGGTCGAACGTGAAGGCTCATATGGAAAACTTTTCTGAGTTAAGTATAGAAATGTTAATTTCATCTTTCTTTGTTGTATTATTTATTTCTAGCTTCTTTTTAATTATTTTTACCGAATGCAGAGCAAGGACAGTGACATGTGAAAATAGAATTAAGACCGGGTTAGACAATTAATGCAAGATTATATTAATCGAAGACTTGCAAGGGGGTTATACGTAAGGTGTAGGGACTGATTAAAAGCGGTGTATCCTTTTACATAATCTATGGTTTTTGTTTTTCATTTAGGTACTGTGTGAAGAACCGGTACTATATTTGGGGATATATCATAGTGTCACAGTCCTCACTAACCATGAATCGATTATCGGTTCTCTTTATAAAGATATAACTGTTTTTTCAAAAATACTTTTATTCTGACTATGAGCGAAAGAAAGTAACTGCCTTATATATATACTTTCAACTCCAAATTAATTCTATCATAATTAATCTTACGATTTTAACCCATGCCCTAATCACATAATGAATCGATCATTTATCCTTTTCCTTAATCAAATTACATATTCCTCATGCGCATCAATTGATCCTCAATTGATTCTTATCAGCATGATTATCCCAACTGATCTTTGAGACCCAGAGAACCGATCCTGACGTGACAGGAGCTAGACCCACTTGACTTACGTCCTTGAAGTCAACAACATTTACGATCGGTTCGACATTTGTAATTTTCAACTTGTTCATTATTGTTATTGTTGATTTTGTCTACAATTCTACTTTGGCAACAATCTTCAATATTAGACATTCCATCAGCGTGACCTAGCTTTACTCTTCCTTGACGATATTGAACCTCCAGGTATGTTTCAAATTTCGCACGTTCGTTCACATTCAAGTCATCAGTCGCATGAATAACGCCTACTTCCTCTTGATTTCTCTTTTGTAACTCTCAAACATTCAATAACTGTCATCGGGACTTCGAATTCATGAATTGTGGCGAGTTTTAACGCGCACAAACTTTCCGAATTTTCACAAATACATGAACCCAACAGAGTCAACAAGTAGGGCTGTCTCGTGCTTCGTCCTATTTGTCTCAGTTACTTCAACATAACAATCTGGCTCTAAACATTTAGATCCTGACCCATCAATAATTTTTAGATACAAGATCACCATCAAATGCTCTTTGTCCACTTCAAAATCTTTGTCACGAATGAGTTGACTAGATCTATTATTACATAGCTCAATATATTTTATCTTTCCACTCTAATTGTGATACTTGTACAAGGTTTTGTCATGACCTTTTATGCAAGCCAATTTCTCAACGATTCTTCAGTTCCTGAATAAATTTACATATTTTGTTTGAATCACGAGCCTCTTTAAGCACAACGTCTTTCCATCTATCATTAATTTTGTCGAATCATATTGCACTATATACAGTTGCAAATCTTCCTTTTTCTTCTTCTCTAATACCCCTGAATTCACTCTAATTAACCCAAGAAAATTTAAATCTTATTGTCTAGTATTTTTCTAAGTTCAGACTTGATATAATCCTGTGATTTACTAGTTTTCAAATAGCTTATATATTTTCTGGCCCATAATTTGCCTTTTGAATATTTCTTTTGTACTGACACCACTACGATAACATCGAACATTATTCTTTATCCTTCATCGCAACTAGATTTTCTAATTCAGCTGCTCTCATATAATCGAAAACATCCATTAAGCTTGGACTGCAAGTTCTCAATGCTGTACAAAGACGTACGTATATACTGACTTGATTCACCTAACTGATATCTTGATATGCGGAATAGTTTTCACTAGAGTTGTGACCTGAAACCCGAAACCTTCAAATTAGAATGTTAATAACTAATGCACATTTACTATAAAGTAACCAAAACATTTCTGAAATGCAATCTAATTATCATGTACTTTATGTGTTAAAGTCTAAAATTAAAATTCTAACCCCTTCAGAGTTTCGGAAAAAGGTTTCATGTCCCAACATTTTTAAAAGCGTGAAGGCAAACTACTTTAATAATAAAAATAACACTTTCATATTTTTATAAGTAAGTGTTCCGATTTAGTTATTTTTTAAACATATGCCAATAAATGAGTGAAAAAAGCACGTAAGACACGTACAAAAAATGATTTTACATTTTATTATCGATATGCGACTTTAGAACCAATCTATATCTTTTTTTATAAGCCTCAGTTTGACAAATTCGAATTCAAACATATGCTATCATTACAGCATTAACTCAAAATGAGTGTACATAAAATTGATGTATTAAACAATATAAAAAGAGTATCTTAAATACAAAGAACATAAACTGATCCGATTGGAGTAATTAAATTGAACACAATTCAAAATACAAAGTTGACCCACTGAAATAAGCAAATCGACCCTAATACAACATAACAAAAATAACAGCTAGAATAAATAAATTAAGTGACCCGACTGGAATATCAAAAATAACCCGAATATAATTCAAAATCCAGCTGAAATAAGTAAATTAAATCTAGTTTAATACACCAAGTAGTTAGGCTAGAATGATCAAACCGAACCTAATTCAACATACCAAAAATGGCCCAGCTGGAATCATCGAGTTGAACCTAATTCAACATAAAAATGACCCAATTAGAATAAATATATTAATCTATTTAAATGTACTAAAATGACAGACGAGAATAAGGAAACTGAACATAATTCAACAGACCTGCTAAAATAAGTAGTTGATCGAGTTGGCAACTGATCAATTGACTACAATTTTAATCGATTGACCAACTAATCAGTTAATTGATTAATCAATTTCCAACTAATCGATTAATTGATTAACTAATTAATCGATTACTCGATTAGTTAACTGATTAATCAATTAATTGATTAATTGATACTAATCGATTGCCCGATTCATAACACTAAATTGAAGAAACTTCTTAACATACCAAAATGACCTGGCTAGAAGAAGTATGTTAAACCTAATTTAAAATACAATGCAACCCTGAAATAAGCAAGTTGAACTTAATTCGACATACCAAGTGACCCAGTAAAATAGGTATATTGAATCGAATTCAATATACAAGGTAGCCCGATTGAATATATATCATCGCAATGAGATACGCAGCTGAAGGATCATTATGGCAGAATCTTAAGCTCAACTAAAATAATAATCTGAACCTAATTCGACATACCAAAATGACCCGATTGTGAACCTAATTCAACACACTAAAATTATTTGGTTAGAATAAGTATGTGGAAGTTTTGGAAAGAGCTCTTGAATGCTACGAGAAATGAAAATAAATTTACTATGGAAAAAATTATCTTTGTTACAATGTAAATCACCACTGACTAAAATCAAGCCGCTGAATGACGATATGCTAATGGTTCAAAAATCTTGGTTAACCAACCTCAACTTTTCAAGATAAGCAAAAATTTCTCTTTTAGACAGTGAGAATATAAGTGCGGTAATAATATTGTTACCATAGGATATGAGTAATTTTCTTGATTTACAAGTAAAATTATAATAATTTATGAGTGAAGAAAAAAAGGATTGAAAGCAATAAGCAAGTTGAAGCTAATTAAATACGCCAAAGTGATCCGGCTTGAATAAACAAACTGAACCTATTTGAAACAACCAACTAAAACAAATAAGTTGAATCTAATTCGACATACCAAGTATATCCTAAATATAATAACTTACCAAAAAACCGGTTAGAGCAAATTCAACGTGCATAAGAACCCCTGCTAGGATAGGCATATTGAACCTAATTCAATGTACATAAGGACCCCTGCTAGAATAGGCATATTGAACCTTATTTAACATATTAAAGAAACCGCCTAGAGCAAATAAATTGGCAAAAAAAAAATTAATTATAATCTAAGTCAGTGCTTTTCAATTACTGTGATCAGTGAATGGTATATTAAAAAAAAAAAGAAGAGAGGTGTGATATTAGTAGGCACATTAATGCAGCCGTGCTGAACTACTCCAAACAAAATAACCCGGCAATAATAAATTGAACCACCTCAACATACCAGTGATCCGGTTGAAATATGTTACTACCGAGATTTAACGTTGTTAAAGAGGTATTCTTGCAAAATGCATTAGCTAATGCTTTTTCTTCTTCGGATCCAAGATTATTATTGAGATCTAACGTTGTTAGGGAGGAGTTCTTGCAAAGTGCATCAGCTAATGCTTTTCCTCCTTCAGATTCAAGATAATTCAAAGAAATATTTAAAGACGTTAAGGAGGTATTCTTGCAAAGTGTGTTACTAATGTCTTTTTCTGCTTCTGATCCAAGAGTAATACCACTAAGATTCAAAGCTTTCAGTGTGGTATTCTTACAAAGTGCCTTTGTTAATTCGTTTATATGGCTAGAGTATAAATTCAAAATACAAGATAAAATAAGCGAGTTGAATCTAATTCAACATACCGAAGTAGCCCGTCTAATATAAAGAAATTTAACGATCAAAGAGAAGAAGTTTAACCTTGTTGTTATTCGCGCTTAAAAAAAATTTTTTATAATAATCCCCGGATTGACCGGATTTGATCCGAATCCGGGGATTGGATCAATTTCAGTTCAATCCCGGATCAATCCGTGATTTTGATCCGGTTCGGAACACTAATCATAATAATGTAATGGCACAGTGGTGTAATTTCTAAAAATGAATAAATGAAACTCATTATTCCTACCAAAAAAGGATTTTTCAAAAATCAGCATAGTGGACAAAAAAAATGTTGAACGTATCCATCCCTCTCACATTTCATGTTGCACATTCATGTGATCGTACTGGTATTATATATCGTAATAAATATAAACATTTCCAAAATTATTATCTAGTTAGATACTAAGAATTTATAACTTTATTTATTTCTCAAATAACTATTACTTCATACTCTATAGTCTATTTTTGGTGTTGCAACAATAAGTAAACCTAAAATATATTTTTTATTTTCTATTAACTTATACTATCAATAATTTAGTTGTAAATAATAAAATTAATAAATTAAATTAGTTATAAATAAATTAATATAAAATTAAATTAATCAGATTAAAATAAAATAAGTAGTAAAATAGACAAGCCTCAAAAAATTAATATTTTTAAAAACATTTTATCAGTATTTTTTAGTGTTAGAGGTTAGATTTAGAGGTCGAATTTATATTAAACAAGTTTAAGTATATTTTAGGGGTTAAATAAAAACTTATTTCATTTAATCTGATTTATTTAATCTGATAATTAATTTAAAATATTTACCATCTGGAATTTCGACAAAATCAATAAATTTACTTGCTAAAAACAAGGTTAAAAATTAATCTTAAAATTAAATACAGATAAAACATTGATAGCATGAATATTTAAAATAAGTACCATTTATCGCAATGGATATTTTTTTAGTATTAATTCTTTTGCTAGTATACATAAAATCTGAACATTTTGATAAGTTAAGTGGCAATGTTTTGGCTATTTTATCTGCTTCAAAAAATTGCTTTTTAACTTCATCTACATCTTCTGAACTTTCCATGTTTTTAATCCATTTTTCAAGTATTTCACAAATATAATAAGCACCAGGCCGCTTTCGAGGATTAGAATCCATACATCGATTAGCCAATTTATTATAACAATCTGGAGTTCCAGGAGCAAATTCAGGCCGCAATCCATTGCGAATAATATTAATTGCAAAACATTCATCAAATTGATAACCATCAAAAGGCCTTTGTCCAGTTGACATCTCTGACATTATAACTCCAAACCCATAAATATCAGCGGCTTTTGTAAACTTTTGACCCGATAAAACTTCTGGAGCAACATAAGGCATAACTCCATAAATACAATCTTCTGAATCTTTTTCATCATTCTTTTTAGATAATCCTAGATCTGCGATGTAGGATTGCAAATTTGTGCTAATGCGTTGATCTTGCAAAATATTGCCACTGTGAAAGTCTGCATGAATATACCCTGCATAATGAATTTGATTTAAATCTTTTGAAATATCGAAAAGTAGTTTTAATTTAGTCTTCCATGCAAGATCTTGAAATTTTGTTCTTAAAAAGTTATAAAGATTTCCATTATTAGCATATTGAAACACCATCAGGTATTTATTTTCATCGTTTTGAGTTAATCCATATATCTTAAGCCGCCCACCAAAGATAATAAATTTCATATGGTTGTCAAACTTTATAATTAAATAAACAAGTTAATTTGTTAGATACTTAACAAATTGGTGAACTAATAATGACTTATTTAACTCACTTCTCTCAAAGAACCTAAGATCTTGAGTGCAACTGTGCTAAATGGCTCACGTGATCTCATATATTTTCCATAAAAAAACCTTTTTATTCCTCGCCTAACGTTAATTTTTCGTATACCGTCCAGCCAGGTAGCTTTGTATACAGATCCGAACCCACCTTCACCAATTTTTATAATATTTCTTAGTCTATCGAATGGAATCCACTCAATCACATCTTCATATGCAAAAGTTTTAAGTTGGAATGCTTTCATGCAAATATCAATATCCATGTTTCCACTTGTCCACCTTGTTGCTATGTCAGGGTCGCATGATGAACACCATGCTTTATTTGTGTTATCTTCATTACAATACTCGCGTGTTTCCTTTTCAAATGGTCCAGCCTTGTGGCTTTGGAATAGTTTCTTGACAAGTTTCGCAGGTTTGCATTTTCCATATTTAGGGTATCTATATTACGATAATCATAAATATATTTTATTCACATCTGCTGTGCTGTTTCAATTTTTTATCGAACGTAAATAATTTTAAATTACCGACTAAATTAATGCAAATAAAATGATTTGTAAGTAATGGCAAATAAGTATTTATTTTCTTGTTTTGTGAACTTGATTTACTGTTAAATTATTGAATGTTCTTTATACTCACTTGCTGAATGAAATGATTTGTATGTTAAATATTTATGTTGTTTTGTGAATTTTGTTGCCTTTATTTCGAAAAATTATTAAATGTTCATTATACTTACAAGCTGATTAATATGAATGAAATGAATTGTACATAATGGTAAATAAGTATTTATGTCTTGTTTTGTGAATTTGTTTTGCTGTTTTTTCGTAAAAGTATTGAAAATTTTTTATACTCACTCACTGAATAAAATATTAATGCGAGCGAAATGATTTTACGTAATGGCAAATAAGTATTTATGTTCTGTTTGTGAACTTGTATTGCTGTTTTTATTTCGTAGAATTATTGTCGCGGATGAAGCTGGAAACAGTTGAAGCTGGAAACGGATGAAGCTGGAAATTAGGACCTCGATTTAAAAATAAATACTTCAAAATCCACTTATACACTTTTTATTATAAAAACTAACTCTACCCAACCTAACTATTAAGAAGTTAAAAAAAATGCATCCCAAAAATTTTTGAAATTTGATATTAAAATATTTAAAATTTCCAGCTTCAGCCGTGACAATTATTAAATGTTCTTTATACTCACAGACTAAAATTAATTCGAATGAATATTTTGTACGTAATGGTAAATAAGTATTTATGACCTTGCTATTTTTATTTTGTCAAATTATTAAACGTTCTTTATACTCACCCGCTAAATTAATGTGAATGAGATGATTTGTACGTAATGGTAAATAAGTATTTGTGTCCTTGTTTGTGAACTTGTTTTGCAGTTTCTATTTCGTAAATTATTAAATTTCTTTGTACTCACAGACTATATTAATTTGAATGAAATTATTTGTACGTAATGGTAATAAGTATTATATTCTTATTTTGTGGACTTGTTTTGCTTTTTTTTTACGTAAAATTATTAAATGTTCTTTGTACTCACTCACTGAATGAAATGATTAATGCGAATGAAATGATTTGCTCGTAATGGTAAATAAGTATTTATGATCTTGTGAACTTTTTATTTCGTAAAACTATTAACTATTATTTATACTCACAGACTAAATTAGTTCGAATAAAATAATTTGTATGCAATGGTAAATAATATTTATGTACTATTTTATTTCGTAAAATTATTAAATGTTCTTTATACTCACCCCCTAAATTAATATGAATGAAATGATTTGTAAGAATTTATGTTCTTGTTTTGTGAACTCGTCTTTCTGTTTTTACATCATAAAATTATTAGACGTTCTTTATACTCACATACTAAATTAATTCGAATTAAATGATTTGTACGTGATGGTAAATATGTAATTATGTTTTTTCTTTGTGAACTTATTTCTAAGAATTATTAAATTTATTTATACTCACTAACTAAATTAATGCGAATAAAATGATTGTACGCAATGGTAAGTATTATATTCTTATTTTGTGAACTTTGTTTTTACTATTTTCGTTTCGTAAACTTCTTTATACTCACTAACTAAATTATGCGAATGAAATGATTTGTGCGTAATGTAAGTATTTATGTTCTTGTTTATGAACTTGTTCTGCTGTTTTGTTTCTAGAACTTATTAGATATTCTTTATACTCACATACTAAATTATGAGAATGAAATGATGGTAAATAAGTGTTTATGTTCTTGTTTGTTAGTTGTTTTGCTGTTTTTATTTCGCAAAATTATTAGATGTTC